ACTGAAATAACGACATGGCCTTGCTAAGTTGCTGAGGCCGGCCTCCAACTTGCGATCCTCCTGCCTCAGCCTCCAGAGCGGCTGGGATTCCAGGCGTGCGCCACTGTGCCCAACTCTTTCGACTAGAAAGTTAGTGGCTAAATTTGCATTTCGGTTTGTCCTTCAGTTGGCCAGCGCGGGGCTGCATCAGCCTGGTGGGGGCAGAGGGGTCGTCTGTGGGTCCCCAACACCCAGGCCTGGGCTGGGGGCGCTCTGGGGTTCATAAGGACCTTTGGAGTCTCTGCAGCGCGTCAGGAGTCCAGCAGGGGGCGCTGCGGGCGTGGTACCTTCCCTCCCGGAGCCACCAGGTCGCTGCAGTGCCAGGGCGCCCCTCTGCCTGTCCCTACCCTGGGACATCTGGGGCCACCCGGGTCCCCCCAGAGCCCCGCTCACCTCTCCGCCAGCCCGCGCTTGGTGAGGCCCGAGATGACAATGGGGTCAAAAGGCTCCTCTGTGCCCGAGATGGTGATGCCCAGGGGACCCCCGTAGCGCTTCAGCTCCACCGTGTAGCTGACGGCGCCCGTGGTCTCCTGCTCGTCTGCAAAGGGGGACGCCGTGAGGGCCAGGGTCCCCTGGGGCAGGGACAGGGCTGGCCCCCTGCAGCGGTGACACTCCATGCAATGCATCCGCTCCGGTGGGGACCCTGAGGTCACTGTCTGCACGCATGCACTCAGCTGTCCCCCCTCCCTCCTTCCTTGGCCAGATGGGACCTCGCTGGCCCACTGGGTGGCGCCCGAGAGGTGACACTCGGGTCCCTACCTGAATTGTCTTCGTCTTTCCGGATCTTCAGCTTCACCAGGTCCTCGCACTGTCGCAGGATCTGCACCGCGTCCTCCATGGGACAGTTGTCCAGACGGATGTTGTCGATGGCCAGCAGCTTGTCGCCCGGCTCGAGGGTGCCCGTCCTGCGGGAGCCGGGGTGGGGGATGGGAAGCGCCCGGTGCCGGCAGACGTGGGCCCGGGCGTCCCCTCCCCGTGTCCCCAGGGTGTCCCTACCTGTGTGCGGCGCTGCCCTTCTTGATGTCCGAGATGATCAGCGGCTCCCCTCGCTTCCTGCTGGCCGCTGGGGGGAAAGTGGCCATGAATCTGACCTCGGAGGACCTCAGGGTGGGGCAGGGCCATGCAGCCCAGGGCTGCTGGGGACATGGAGGCGCCCTGTTCTACGGCTTCCTGGCTGTGACCGTGAACAAACCCTCCGCCACCCTGGGCCTCGGTTTCCATTCTGCAAGATCAGTGGGAGGCCCGGGCCTCGCGGGGAAGTGGTGACACTAAGTCACACAACAGGAGGCGCAGTGTGGGTCTTTCTGGAGGGTCCCTTACAGCCCCACGAGGAGTCTTGTCAGGCCAGGGGGCTCCCACCTTCCCTCCTCTCCTGCCCAAGCTGGGTGCGTCCCCTTACACCACGGTGCGTCCTGGGTGTGGCAATGCTGGCGAGAAAACAGCTGCTCCACGGGGCGTGGTTTGCTCTGGGGGTGTGGCTTGCTCTGGGGGCGTGGCTTGCTCCAAGGGTGTGGCTTGCTCTGGGGTGTGGCTTGTTCTGAAGGGTGTGCCTTGCTTTGAGGGGCGTGGTTTGCTCTGAGTGTAGCTAGCTCTGGGGGTGTGGCTTGCTCTGAGAGGCATGGCTGCTGTGAGGGTGTGGCTGTATTGGGGGCGTGGCTTGCTCTGGGGCGTGGCTTGCTCTGGGCGTGGCTTG